AAATTCTTTTCTTCTTATCCCTTTACAAATCCTTTATATATATATATATATATATATTTATATTTATATTTATAAAATATACATAAAAAATATGATTATATTTCTTTTGCAATTGAAGTCAATGTTTATTCGTATATCTACTTTATCGATAATTCATTGAAATTGTCATTCAATTTCTATTTTATGCCGTTGTGAATAGTCGTACAATTTTTTATGTGTCCTACGGTCGATAAAGTAGAAAAAGATATTATCTGCAAATATTAACTACAGTTCATTACTACGAATTAAAGAAAATACGAAAGAAACATCGATAAAAACGATTAATATTTTTGGAAATTTAGAAGTTATTTAACTGTTTAATAAAATCTATTATTAAAGTTTTTTCTCTAAAGAAAAATCTTATTGAACAATTTTATAAAACAAAATTAAAAGTGCAAGAAAATTCTCAACTTCAATTATCGACGTATTCCATCCATTATCTTGATATCGCTTTCCTGTTATCAGCGATGCTATCTCGATATCAAATCAAAAAATAGCAGGTATTTTTGAAATATTTTTTTGCTGAATCTCATGATGGAAGAAGCAACAAAAAGAAAAAAAAAAAGAGAGAGAGAACAAAAAGACCAGGATGTTACACACAATTATCCTTGTCGTTGAAAGAATCGTAAAATGGTATACATTTCGAAAATTAGCATTACAAAAGAATATCATTTGCGATAAACGTGAGGACAAATTAAATTCTGTAAAAACAGTTAACATGTAGGAAAAGAAATGTCAGGATAGGAAACCATCAGAGATAGACAAATTCGAAGAATGCACATTGATCCAAATATGATGGATGACGAGAAAATATTTTTTAACGATGAAAGAGATAACACAACGTGGTCAAATGAAAGTCGTGAAACGACTTAATATAATAACGTTAAAGTAATTGCAATTCGTTAAGGCCATTTTAAAAAAATTATTTGCAACTGGAACTGTAAAGATTTTTTACGATTATCTCATTTCTTAGAATGGTTACGACGTAAAAATTCTATCTTCAAAGAAATATCGGCATTGAAATAAATATGGCGAATTCAAAAGTTACTTACTTGGCGTATAGTACTTCTTATTAGTATGTAGTATAGCCGGAGGTTAAATCGAAAGAGAACTCGAGAGAGGACGTTCGCCACGGCACGCACAACCCTCGTGAATCCTGGCTGAGTGTTTCTCGCTTCGAAGGAAGGTCACGCCAAGGTCATCGGTTGTGCGAGCCAACGATCGTAAGACACGCGATTCGCGCCGCTTCAGGAGTTTCCTTCGGCCCTTTTGCGAACAGACCGATATCGTACTCGCTTTCTAATGCACGATCGAAATCTTTCCTATTTCTTCTTACCTTTTACGCAATAATTTCGAGCATTATATTTATTTATTTTTTTTTTCTTTTCTTCGTCTTCTTCTTCTTCTTTTTTCTCTCTCTCTTTCTCTTTTTTCTTTTTCCTTCCTTTCTTTTGTTTTCGTCAAGTTTGAAATAAAAGAAAATATAATATAATTGACGAGTCCATAAAGAGAAAATAGAACTATAATCAATTAGAGCAAGAAATTGCACATAGAAAAATATAAATAGTGAAGCATTAAAATTGTTTCGAAGAAGAGGAACATCTCTCATCATGACGATATAGCAATTAGCAAATGCAAAATTCATATCGTCTTATGCCTCTTTCCATGTTTTTTCTTCTGGCAATTCATTAAGAATCGAGACTGTAGCCTATGAGTACTACCTTTTAACGACGCAATTAGAACTATTTCCTATCTTTGCTCTCTTCCTTTCTCTCTCTCTCTCTCTCTCTCTCTTTCTTTTTCTCACTTTCTCTCTATCTCTCTCTTTCTTTTTCTCTCACCACAGCACGGATTTGAATTAGGCGTGATAAACGGCGGTCACGGCGGCCTTTGCTTTTTGTTGTAATCAGACGCTAACAAATTTATTTGCGCGACGGTATACGGGCGCAATAAAGGACTCGCTGGTAGCCAGCTCATTAGTTCTACCTTGCACTCGTAATAAGCCCTTAATCTTCCTACCTCATGGCCGCGTACGTATGTACACCTATAACCAATAATCCAGCGGCAACTATCCTTTCCTCCTACGACGAATCCGAGTAGTCTCTAGATCGTAAATCTCAGTCGGATATATCACAAATAAAGTGAAGGAAGAATAAGAGAGGGAGAGAGAGAGAGAGAGAAAGAGAGAGAAAGAGAGAGAGAGAGAGGAAGAGAGAAAGAAAGAGTGGGAAGTGTATCCGCGTTTAATTGATTCATGCAATAATTTCATTATCCAAGATGCATCGATCAAGAAGAAATCTTCTTTTATACTTTATATTTTTATTATTTTCTTTCTTTACGACCAAGAGTATCTTCTGTTATAACAATAATACAGGAAATTATCGAGAAAATATGAGATTTAAAAATACTTGAAAGATAAAGAGAAACGTTCGACTAGTTTTGATTAAGAAAAAAAGAAAAAAAGAAAAGGAATGAATCAAGCTTAAAACACTCGTAAGGACACTTTGATACCTTTTATGTTCCCAATTAAATTCTGTTAATAAACTACGGAGGCAAATCGTTTCGCGCTCGGCGGAATGTGAAAGTAGATAAGTCTATGGTTTGTGACTCGGCCGAGACATTCCGGTAAGAACAAAACTACGCTGCGTGGTGCAACCTCATTATCGGATTCGGTCTTATAATTGATCGAGAATTAGCTTTTGTTCGAATCAAGGGTCGATCGGGTAGATCGTATATGTATGTGTATTCAAGTACTTCGGTAGAGAGTAAGAACGATCGATCGTTCTCAAATGTCATTATCACGATCGAAAGACGAGAGACGGTGAATGGGATTAGCCAACGTCATTGCGTTCGAATGAACGATGATCGATGAAGTTTGTGAGACTCCTTAGATCGATACAACTGAGTACTCTCTTATTATGGAAATGTTTGAATGATATAAAATTTTCGATTTATATCATGATGACATAAGTGAAATTTATATAAATCATTTTTAGTCGTCGATCGTCGAACATCATTTTGTCTCTTTAGAAAGAAATTAATGGTTTAATGAGTTTCCTCCCGTTTGTTTTTTTACGAGCAATTTGAACGGCTAAAGATAGGTCGTATCTCAAAAAAGTGGACATCGTAGTTTATGAGAGAAGAGAAAAGGGTAGAGAGAATCCTGAAGTGTCGGGCGATGGCACCTCTTAAGATGGCGTGACTTTGGTCCTATCGCATGGCAACCTCGTGGTGCATTATCGCCGCTTAATAATGCTACGTTCTAAGAAAAGGTCTTCAAGGATTATGTATTTTAAACGTCATGCATCCTGTATTCGTGGATCATCGGATATTTCACTATGCACGAGAGATTTCGCGGTTTTTGATAACTCCTTGGTTTTCTTTTTTCTTTCTTTCTTTTTTTTTTCAATTTACTATTTCGTTTGATGACCTTTTTTTGAAGGGGATTATAACATTTCTAACAAAAATGTTGCACTTTTAAATTCCTTCGAACATTTGTTTCTTTTCCTTTATCCTACGAGAGACGAGATCGAAAGATCTCGAGACGTTTTCGATAATGATGATCGAAACGAACCGAGTGACTTCGCGAAATGATCGAGCACATTCCTGTGTTCCTGTACGTCGTTCATCGGCAATGGTGATGGCGGAGGTGGTAGTGGTGCAAGGAAGCCTTGGGTGGGGTGACCGTACTGTACAGTTAGGATTTCGAGGAGGCAAAGAGCGTAATGAGAGAAACGTGTTGCCCTCTGGCCCGTGCGAGCCAAGCCTCTCTTCTCTTTTTTCCTTTCCTCTCTCCTCGTCGAATACATTCTCATCGAGAGACGAAATACTTTTTCGTATAGTTTATACATTTTTCTGGTTCGCAGAGAATTTGAAAAAAAAAAGAAAAAGAATAAAAAGAAATAAAGAAACATATCAGTTGTATGTAACATCGATGACCATTAAAAATAAAATTAATACAAATATATTTGCTCAATTAAGCGAATCATCTTTAATTATTTTAATTCTCTCTAAAACCTCTTCTATTGCTCCCTTCCTTCTGTCGTATACATTCCGATCTAGATACGAAATCCTTTTTCGTATTGTTTATTCCTTTTTCTTGTTCGTAAAAGACGATACATCGGTAAAATACGATACATCGGTCGTAAATAAAATCGATATATGTTAAAAGTTAATTATATCCCTGGTAATTAGTAAACCATCCAATTATTCCGGTACCGTGCTAATTATATATGTATCTCTGATAAATAAGACGATGATAAGGTAAAGGATTTTCTACACCTTTCACATAGTATGTGCTTTTTAGTTAATTAGAAGGATAGTTTGAAACGGAGTCGTAAGTCGGACGAGTAAGTATAAGAAAGTCGAGAGGCGTTAGCCGTGTCGCAATTAGCGTAATGCAAACTTCTAATCTTCATGTTCTTCGCGAGTAGGTCGCATCGCGCAAGAAAGGTGGAACGTCACACCCTCGCAAGGACTCCTCTTATTATGACCGAAGACGCACCTTGTAAAAAGAGAAAAGTGTAGTCTACGTAGGACCGATAAAACGTAGGTCGTTTTAACAAGCGAGTTGCGCAAACTACGAGTATTGGTCAGCTATCGTTAGAAATCTCTCGTCGTAGCTAAGCTAATACGAGAGTCAATCCCACGCCTCGATGACCGACCAACTGGGGATCGTTCGTTTCTCCGTGACGAACGAGATGAGTCCGAGTAGTCGACTAATCGGAAACCGGATGAGATATTACGATATTAAACCGTAACTCGCTCTTTATTATCTATTCTTTGATCAAGAAAAGCTTCTCTATCTCTATCTTTCTCTCCATGATCATTATACAAAATTATTATACATTTAACTTAACTCATTAGGATTTATAATGAATATTTACACTTTCACACTTCTCAACGAACATATTTATTGTTAATTATATTATTAAAAAGGAAAGAAAAAAAAAACGTTTCAATATCAGACATTAACTTACTTTTTTTCTACCTGATTTTTATTTAAAATTAAATATTTCAAAGACCGAGCATCATTTGCTTGGTAAAGGAGGATAATAAAAAAATTGAAAAATTTGTCCTACAGTTATTCGACTAAGATGTTGAAGTCCTCTATGCTGTCGGGGTAATTGCCAGTCGAGTTTCATATAGTTACATTCGGATTTACTTCCATGATGTTCCAACACTTCCATAGAACATTACAGGAGTGACGTGGATTCTCTGATGGTAGCAGGACTTTCAAATTGCTTCACCTCTTGACTCGGAAAAAGGCAATGCACAGCATTCCATACTTGCTCTTCTTCGAACGGCGCCATGTTCTTCTTAATAAAATTGAAATCTCGACGTCTCATAGTGCGTCTACGTAGACATATTTCTTATAGTTGAATAAATTTCAATAAAAATCGTACATCTATATCTAGCTAAGCAAGCCGTATGAAGTTACGTTAATTATCCGCGTAGCGCGTTTTCTAATGAAAAAATTATTTCCATATCTTTATATTGATAACTTTTTTTTTTTATAACTAAGACAGTCATATGAAATTCGACAAATATCATAGCGCATCGTGGCGACTACAGTTTGTAATGATAAAATCATTTAAACTTTATCTGATTATTTAATCGCCCTAAACAAGTTCTTTCAAAGTTAAGAGACTTAGTTAAATCGCTTTTTCCTATCCAAAAACGATAGGTTCATTCAAATATGTTAAAATTCTTAAACTTATTTTCAAGATAATATTGACGAATACAGAAGGATAGCTCGTTTAATAACGTAGGATCAATTTTTTATATGATGCTCATTGAAAATTCAACAGAACAATTATATTCTTTCAATATATACTCGAAATTTATGCTCGAAGAAGACATCTAACATCGACCGTCTTGTTTCTTTACGTGGGTAGAACGAGAATACAGTCTCCAAGGTAAGTGGCATGCCAGAGAGACGTCGATATCTTCGAGCTACGAAAGTAAAACCCGTATTCGCACGGTATTATCTCGTTCTTTCCTTCGAAAGCTAAAGCCTAAGAATATGGAGCAACACTAACCTGAGTTCTGCGTTCGAACAACGACAAACCATACCGTATAGTATGAACCATCAAATAATACTTATATACCCATCCCTCCTTCCTGAAAAAAAAAGGAATAAGATAGTTTAAAAACGATGAAAATAAAGAACAACTTGAGATTCTGAACTATCTCTACTCTCCTCGTATTTCCCATTCCGGTTAGTGACCTTTATGTTATTACGGGACACGTGCTTTTCCATTTGCTCGGAGATTGAAGTTTCATTCGAGTTCAGATTACATATGTTAACTTCGCGAAATCTAAAAAGATAAAGACAAGAAATAAATTTGCAAAGATTAATATCATAGATTTTTCATATATGTATTTCGTATAATTTATTAAATAATACCTTTGTCAAATAAATCACGAATTAATTCTTTTTCTTAGTAACGTCATTACTTATTACAAATCGTTGAAAGTTTTTTGAACGATTCGATGAAATTTAAAAGACAGATCGGTGTGAATAAAAATCAGTCGTTTCGAATTTTACTGCGTTATATTCCATGACGAATCTTTTTCAAAGTTTATGGAGGAAGAGAGAAAGAGAGAAAGAGAGAGCGAGAGAGAGAGAGAGAAAGAGAAAGAGAAAGAGATAGATGATTCTGATGAAGACGTCCCGGACTCTCCTCGTTTACGTACCACTGGAATAAGTGTAGGTAATTTGTTCAACTGGCTAGACCACTTGTTTTCTGGGGAGTACCGGTGCCGTTTAAAGATCCTTACGACGTACACATACATACGTACACGTAGTCACTTACGTGCTTGAATACACACATCTTTTCTCGCGTTCGTGCGGCCATTGATAACTTTCGCGGAAAAACAACTCTATAGGAATCGTTGGAAGTTGTAATCCTTGGTGAAAATCGTCGTCGAACTAACGAAACCATGATTATCTGAAAAAAAATGTTCTTAGAATTAGTATAAATGATAGAAAATAGAAAGATATTAGAAGCATTTTAGAAAGACCGATTATCCTGAATGTTAATTGCGAAAGAAAGAATAATAAATATTCTTAGAACTGGTATAAAGAAGAATATTACGGAAATAGAAATTAGAGGAATTATTAAAAAAAAAAATAAAATAAAATAAAATAAAATAAAAATAAAAGAAAAGAAAAGAAAAGAAAAAAGGAAAGAGCTTATCGTCAATGATGTTAATCGAAAAGTCGAATGGGCGGATCGATTTGATACAGATAAGAAGGTAACAACCTGGAACGAATAATTTTCAGTTTGATACGTACCGATCGAATCGTAAAATTCGATCGGTTTAGAAATAGCTTTCTGAAATGATTCGAAGGTAGATTTCTACGATAGTAAAGCCGCGCTTTCACGCGATTCTATTCCTTTAGTCTCGTGCGTGTACAATGATAGATATCACCGAGTCTCTTCCATTGTAATGCGTGTAATGAGAATCGCAAATAGCTATACAATTTGATAAGCTTGTCAACCGGCGTTACGGTTCGTGGATTCTCGGATAGAATGGAATAGAAGGATTACGGTTATATTCCCTAAGGGCGAAGACTAGGAACGAATGGGATACATGTTTGTGAACGTATTTCTTTTTCTCTTCTCGATGATTTTTTATTATGGTAAGTTCTTTTAACGAGATTAACAGAGAAAGAAGGAAGACGATGAGTTCGCTAAAGAGAGAGAGAGAGAGAGAGAGAGAGACTCTTAGTCTTTTCGATTTCGAGAACGTACGATCGTGAGAAATGAGAAAGTCTTCGCATAATCGGAAAGGTCGACCGTCATCGAGATCGTCTCTTTTCAAGTTAGGTAGAAGTATACTTCAATGCGGATAGCTTCCGAGCAGACACCTGTCATGTTTCTCTTACTGAAGAGTCTCTCTCTCCCTCTCTCTCTCTCTTCCTCTTTCTCTCTCTCTCCTTCTTTCTTTCTGTCTGTCTCGTTTGTTTCAATCCAACATATTTCGCTTTCACTGGATCCGATAACAGTATTGATGCACGTTATGAAATCAGTGCCACGGTTGAACGATCGATAAAATCGAGAAGAGATTTTTCACAGACATTATATCGACCTCATCGAGTCGCGAAATATCACGATCACGATCTCGATCTCGATGTCGATCCTCTCGATCTCAAGAGTTAGATGAGATTGGAGAAGCGTACAGTTCAGGCTGTACATAGAGAACGCGTATCGTGCTCGCACAACTTATCGTGCAATAAGAACATTCTAATCTCCGTTCTAGCGGTACAAAGCGCGCGTTAATTACCGTGATTGATTTAAGTCTCCTCGTCGTAGAGTTTAGAGCCTCGCCCGAACACGGCGAACAAGTGAGCAAGTAACCAAGCAAGCAAGAAGGCACAATATCGATCTCTTCGATCCCTTCATCGATCCTCGATCTTCGTCTTGCTAACTTCTGATCCTTGCTTATTTGTGTATGTTCACGACGAACGCATGTTTTATACTCGATAGACGAGAAAGAAACGCGGAATTAATTCTTGAAGAAGAAGAAATCTCTCGATCTCGATGGGAATAATTATTTACGTATTTATATTATAATCATTTTTATACATTAAAATTATATTTTATATCGAATTATTATAACGAATTTTATTCTACCTTTAAACCTTATTGAATATTATAGCACGTTTGTCAATTTCAAATAAATTCTGGGAAAATTTTAATATTATTTAGAAGAAAGATTCTCTATTTATCATTTTTATAAGTATGGTATTATATAGAAGTATTTATAAATGTTTGCGTAAGAAATAGACGTCGAAAACAAAATAAAATAAAACAAAAAAATGAAAATCAGCATTTTTTATATGATTTTAATTATCAATTTTATGAGCTCAAAGAAAAAAATTTGCGAAAGATTATCGAAGAATTACGTTTTAAAATATTACAAGTACAAATTGAAATTAATACGTTACGTGCGTGCGTATTGATACAAAAGGAAAGAAAAAAAAAAAGAAAAAACAAGGAAAAGAAGGAAAAAAGATGATCGAGAGGATCTCAAAGGACGTTCTCTCGAGGAGAACACTCAAGATTCGACGAGCCAAGCGACAGCGTCGAGATCGCTCTCGATCTCTCCTCTTATACGCGTGTGTATACGCCTAACAGCGATATATCGAAGAACGGATCAAAAGAAACCGCGACGTTTACCGCGCGAATAGAACCAATCGCGACGACATCGATTTGCGTTTACTTCACTCTGTCCAATCGTATTGCCGTTTGACGTAAACTAAGTCCTTTTTCTTTTTTTTTTCTCTTTTTTCTTTTTTTTTTTCTTTCTTTTAACATCGTTGGAGCCGGATGTTCTTCACAGATGTGACTGTGGAGATCCTCGTCGACGACATTTCCGTTCTGAGATCTGTCACGATAGTAAACTCCACCCAACTAGATCCAGTTCGCATGAATGTTCTGTTAAAGTTACGAAGGAAGACTACAAATTCACATCGAGTTATCTTATTTTCTCTTTACTATCTCTATCTTTCTTTCTTTGCTCTTATTTTACGTCATTCTCTCTTTCTCTCTCTCTCTCTCTCTCTCTCTCTCTCTCTCTCTCTTTCTCTCTATCATTATCTTTTAGATTTATTTCGTATCTCTTTCTTTTCTTTAGGTTTACACGAATAATTCGATACGATATCGTATAATTGATACTACACTATTGCTATCGCTAATAATTGTGACGTTCTCGTCCTTGAAATACTATACAAGTATTGATATGCACAAAGTCTATTGCAACGTAACATGCATAGATAATAGAGAACCATACGAAGTAATCCGTACATAGTAGGACTCGTTGAAACGTAATGAAAACGTGCCTAACTAATACTCGACTCTCGCTTCGAACTTACTTAACGTAATAATTTGATGGTTATGTCTGGAATCATGTACTATTTGCTCCTTCCTCGCTTTTACGAACTTTTACGAAATTAACGATTACCTCATCAGCTCAACTATTGTTTATTCGTTCTCGAAAGTTAACCTATAGAACAGTATTTTTCTTTTTCTTTTTTTAAGATTTTTAAAAGTGATTCGAAATAATATCTAAAATGATCTAGACGATTGAATGAAAACAACGTTTGCACGTTGATTACTCGTGTTTCACGTTGCTAAAGGATGAATGTTAATTAACGTTTCTGATTACCTTGTAGCTCTCTTTCCCTCCACTCTCTCTCCTCTCTATCTATCTATCTATTTATCTATCTTTATCTATTTCTCTTTCGTACCATTGGAAAAATTCCGATGGAAAGAGATCGCACACGGCGAAGTTCGCGATAAAGTAATATTAAATCCTTTACGTAATCCTGCATCATTCGTAACGGCGTAGAAACGAGAAGGACGTGAGGTTGAAGCGCAAAGAACGTTTTCTCGCGAATCAGCTCGCGGATTAGCATCGGAAATTTTTAATAACCGGCTTGACTCGGACACGCATAATTTAGTAGCCACAGAGCCGGCTCCAAGTATTATATTTACGAGTATCTACTAGCTCGAGAACAACGGCATATATGTATAGAGACGCTTACATGTAATAGTATCTATGTAAGTACATACAACATATATGTACGTAAAAGCGACATTGCATTTGAAAAGAGAGAGGGAGAGAAAGAGAGAGAGAGAGAGAGAGAGAGAGGGGGGAGAGAGAGAAAGAGAAAGAAAACCATGTCGATCGTCTATATATTCCGTCGATCAGAAGCGATTGCACGGTGTTCTGATCACAAGACACGCCGAGCACGCGGAACACCGTCGGCCTACTGCAAAGGGTGTCAATGGCCATGTGATCGTCGATCGGTAACTATGGCAAATAACGACGCTCCACTGGCTTCATATATCCATCATTTTGCTAAATCGTCGACCCAACGATCTGTAATTTTTTTATTATTATAAATATCTCAAATACAAGATGTTTTTATTTCCTTTGGATGAACTAGGAATTTATAAAGTTTACTTTTAGGGATCAATGATTTGTGGATATTATATAAGTAGATATTTATAAATAGACTTTCGATGAGATAGCTTAGAAAAGAAAAATTTCGAATGATTAAAGGAAATCTTATGGTATACATTTGTTTTTATGATTGATTAAGCATGTTATATTCTTCTTTTGCTTATTCAATAATATTTTTTCATGATGTGAAACACGATTATAGATTATATATAGACTATACTATATTTAGTGTTAACGTATAATATATAATATAATATATGTTATAATATATAATATAATGTATGTTTCGCCTATGTTGCCATGATTTTTTTTACGTATTTTTGGTAGTGTAACAAAAGAAGCTTATAAAAAATGATCATTCGTTGGCTCAATTTTCAACAAATTATAAAAATAAAAATTGTAAAAATATTATTTTTCAATAAAAAATCGATGACATTTTTATTTCTTTTAAATGGCACCATATAACTTTTTCTACGGTATATTGTAAGTGACAATACGACAAATTCAATAATGTTGGACAAAGGTATATATCTTCAATAACTTGCTGAAAAAAATCATTTTTAATTTAATAATGATCCTGATGAATGCAAACGTTCTTCGAATTTTTCTCCCCATTGGACTCTTATTTATGGGGTATTTATGATAAATTATTTACGAAACATTCATAGATATTATTCAAGAACTTCGAATATTGATGGTATATGCATGTAGAACTATATACTATGAAACTTGTTTGCTGTTATGCATGACAATTAAAAAACCAACACGAACACGAACACATGTATACGTATACATATACGAATACGAACACACGATCACAAATAATATCGACTACCCAAATATAGGTTGTCATATGTAAGAACTATGACATAATCCTTAAATATAAGAAATATCTTAATCGGTAAATTTAACATTTATATAATCTACGATCGATATAGCAACATACTTATTGTCCAATCATTCTTAAATCGAAAAAATACGAGTATGAGGACTACGTTAAATTGTTACGTTCGATCTAATAAATTAACGTAAGAAAAGGCAATAGCAAATATTACGATCGTTGCGAAAGAATGTGAATAAAGTGAAATAGCAATAGGACGAGGAAGAAAAAAATTAAAAAAAAAAAAAAAAAAAAAAAGAAAAAAAAAAGAAAAAAAGGAAAACAGAAAAAAGAAAGGGAATAGATAAAAAAAAAAGTTCTCACCTCGTACACGATATTATATTATTTTTCCTTTTCACGATCGATTTCGCGTTGCGCTCGGACGCTGAGAAAGAGATAAGAATCGAGATGTTAAATAAGAAGTAAAAGAAATCATCGAGCGAAAGTGACTCGTGTGAATTGAGAATATAAATGGCTTGACGAGTTTATCTCGAGCGCATCTATCGAAAAGCAGGATGAATTGCCGTTGAAAGATTGATTTCTCGCATTCTCATATACACACACACACACAAACACATACACATACATATTGTACAATGCATACGTAATATATTATACATATACATACACACACATACACACGTAATGTGTAGGTATACATAATATATTTCGCAATTTTCGAGGCACAATTCTCGAAATTATACATATAGCTTGATGTGCAGGGTTAAAAGTGAGTAAAAGTTCGTACGTTAGGAAGTACTTACTACCTGTAACGATCGACTCATGTAAGTTTAACGCATAACTCGATCGTTGTGAAAAGACGCACGTTTCGGCACGCGTGCTTCAATCGTCTATTCGTGGTTACGCACTAACAAAGCGAATAGTGTCACGTGTTATACCTGAGACGAAAGTACGAAAGGAAGTATGCTTGAGTGACACTAAAATACTTGCTACTAAACGAAAACTAGCTCGAGTATCAGCTGTTGAAGTAAATCTTACGGAATTTATCTTACTTCATAAAATATTAAAGTTTATTATAAATTCTCTATAAACAAAATTACATATAATAATTTAACGAACATTTGTTAGAAAGTAAAAGAAATAAAAAGAAGTAAAAAAAAAAAAAATTAAAAAAAAAAATTCTTGTAATATATTATTGAAATTATCAACGAAAGTACGAAGTATTCATAGCGCGATTTGGATAATATAATATTAAAGTTTATTATAGATACTGTTTGTATAGAAAAAATTAAATATAATAATTCAGTGGAAAGTTAAAAATAATAAAAAGAAAAAAGTACGAAAAAGAAATTCTTTTCGAATATCTGAAATTTTTTGAAATTGACTCGTGAGACACTAAAATACCAGCTGTTAAACGAAATATTGCGAAATGTATCCTACTTCATAAAATATTAAAGTTCATTATAAATTCTCTATAAACGAAATTACATATAACAATTTACTGGACTTTTGTAAAAGTAAAAAAAAAAATTCAAAAAAAAAAAATTCTGATCGAATATTATCGAAATTATCAGAGAACATATGAAATATTCATGGCACGATACGGATTATCCAATATTAAGATTTATTTTAAAATTTATTATTTTAAAATATCGAATATTATATATCGAATTATTATAGTATAATAATTCGAGGGAAATACCTTAAAAATAATAAAAAGAAAAAAAAAATGAAGTATAAAAAAAAAATTCTTTTCAAATATTTAAAATTATCAACGAATATAGACTCGATTAAATTAGAACACTCTGTAAATCGATGTGTAATAAATTATTATTACTATAATCACTGAAGTTTTCTTGAAGAAACAACCATGGCTTTGACTCACAAAACGTACGTTTTATTCTCGCAACTCCCACGTCTACGAGATCTCGACACTTTTGGAGATATCATCTCTCTTTTAGAAAGATACTTCGTGGTTCTTTTTCGCGAAGGTAAAATCAGCGGTCGTGGTTTCTCTCGGTCGGTGTAAAAAATATACAGTAATTGTGGTATTATCTCACCACAATAAGTGTGAGTTCCGAGGGAGGAGAATGATTTTGCTTGTAACGTGGTAATGTGACGTAACGTTCGACCATCGTAATCTGGACGAAGGTCTTTTATTCAAGAAATAAAGAGAGAGAGGGAAAAAAAAAGAGAAAGAGAAAGAGAAAGAGAAAAAGAGAGAAAGAGACAGACAGACAGATAGAGAGAAAGAGAGACAGAGAGAGAAAAGTAGGACTACTTCAAAAGAAACTTAATTATCACGTCTTTCTTTCTCTTTCTTTCTTCTCTTTTTTAAATATATTTCAATCATTTTGCAAATAGTTTTATCATAATTAAAATTAAAAATTCATTTCGATCGATTTGTGAATAAAACGAGAACATTTCTATGATCTTAATGAACTTCTTGAAAATCTTTAACGTATTTGACGGATCAAACGGTGATCAAGATGGACGATTGAAGAAGGTAGATGAAGGAATAGCAAAGCATATCGCGATGCACGCTTCTTCTCTTTCCTAAGAACTCTTTCTCTCTCTCTCTCTCTCTCTCTCTCTCTCTCCCTCTACCTCTCTTTCCCTCTCTCTCTCTCTCTCTCTTTCTCTCTCTCTCTCTCTCTCTCTCTCTTTCTTTAGACCTACGATCTCGCCTATAATCGATACGGAGATGTAGCGATAAACACGGATTATTGTCGCTTGGCAGCATAGCTTACTTAATAAGAAAACTATAAGTATCGAATATTCTCTAAGTATAGTATCTAATAACTCTTCTTATCTAATTTAAGTATTGCTATCGACTTTAATTATACAATAAATTAAACTTGTAAGAATTTGAATAGAATTTATCTTTTCTTAGTAATTATAACAACAACGACAACGAAAACGACGGCAATGGTAGGAACAGTAACAATCACAATGATAATAACAATAACAATACAATAATAATAATAATAATAATTTCAATAACAACAATAAAAATAACAATAACAACGATAACAATAACAATAACAGTAACAATAAAAATAACAATAATAATAATAATAAAGAAAATAAGAAGGATTAGATTTTTTATCTATCTAACGAAATGGACAGCTACTAAGAGAAGAAGCTTAATATAAGATAGGTGGCTGGATGCTGGTACGTTTGGCCGGTGTTTAAGAGTAAAGGTCTGAAACCTACCTAAGGTCATCCGTCTTCCAACGATATGCGATATGCTTCCGTGTACCGGACACGCTATGAGGAGCTTGACCTTTTGAAATTAAATCGTCGATGTTTATTTCTTCTTACCATGAACGCGAGTATAATAAACGGTGCTTTCCTGCAAAATATTCTACAGGACGAAATAAGTACATATTCACGTTCCTTCGGTCTCTCTCTCTCTCTTTTTTTCTCTTTTTTCTCTCGTTGATTTTTAACATAGAATAATATCAAACGAGAAACAAGTCGACATGGGTGGGTCTCCGATGTGGAAAGAAAATGATGAACCAAACGAGCGACGACGAAGATGGACGTTTTGAAAGAAAGGAAAGCTCGATTATGACGTTTCTTCTCGGTACAATCAACGTCTCTACGAGTCAATGATTGTTCTCCGAGATGGCAATTACGAAGGAGACAATGACACTCGCAAGAGAAGTTTCGCGTCTAAATACTGACATTAATATTCTTGCGTTCCGGGATAATTATCGGGATATATGTATGTGTATATATGCTCTCGTACAAAACTTTAAGAATGTGAAAGTGCGTTTTTGACGATGTACCATAGAAGGCTTATCTTTTCTTTTATTTGATATTATTCCAATTGACTTTACGATGACAACTATGATTTCTCTTGTTGAATGTACATATTTATACGTACAAAAGGACTTCTTTCGAAATATTTTTTGAAAACATAGTTATGTAAATCTTTCTAATATGTTAGTATGTAAACTATCGAATATATGAAGTTTGATTAGGAATATTGTTTACATCTTTAAAAGATCATCCTTGAAACCTTGACGGTGAAGAATAACTATGATATTTTTCTCTTTATCGAGTGTATACAAATTAAGAACTTCTTTCGAAATATTTTTGCAAAGGAATAACAATAATCTCCATCTATTTATCTTTCGAGCGTATAACTCGTATGAATAATCGAAGAAAAATTTTGATTAAGAATATTGTTGGGATCAATTATTTTCACTTTAAGAAATCATGCTGACGAATGACAACAACGATTTATTCCTATTAAATAATAACGAAAAATTTCTTTCAAATTATTTTTGCAACCGAGTGACACACACAGACCTACGAACATGTAATGAACCGACGAATAAAAAATTTCACGTTAACCATTGAATGAAGAATTTTGTTAGGAATATTTATTAAATCAATTATTTGAAACGTCCTCTTCTTCCTAAGCATGAGACAAACTCGAATAATAAACGACGTATGATTACTTCGAATGGTTTCTGGCATATATTGAAATATGTCAGAAAAGTCGATGACCGATGTATCGATGATGATAAACGAGAAGTTAGAAGTTTGTTCGTTGCTAATTCGCCAGATGCCTTTCGCACATATGGCGTGCTACTTTCCACGAATTTCTCGATAGACCGCTATACAGGTGTATATATATATATATATATATATATATATATATTCAAATATATATATGAATGTATGTATATATATCTGACAATGGAATCTATTCTTTCAACACTATCAAAAGTTCTACCGCCCAGTTCTCGAGCATTATTTTCCTTTCTCAATTTCTCCCCTCGTTCGTTCTAATACTCACATGTTCGCTTAGCTTCCACGTTCCTTTTTCTAACTGTACATATGTAATAAACTTACACAGTTATAGGAGGCACGCGTCTCTTCATCAATTGTTCTTCCTTTTTTTCTTCGTGAAAGATGATGCTCTTTAAACGTTCGCGGCCTTGCGAATACACGTGGAACCTTGACGTCCGATTTCTTTGGATTCTAAAATAGCTAATGTTAATTAATATTCATATTGTTCTTCGAGAGATATTACACGGTGTAATCGTTTTATAAAAACGAATGTTATATAAACAGTAGTAAATTTTAAAAAGAAAAAAAGGAAAAAAAAGAAGAACTGAAGTAACAAGAAATGTTATTAGTTAGATATATGTTGATATTCTATCGATGATAAAAATTTCATAGAGTTTGTTTTACTCGTGAAAAGATCTAATCAAGTCTTTTTGTTTTCTCAATTCTCGGTATTTAAGAACATAAAACTCGAGGATATATTCTAGTGTTATTACAAGTGAAATAATTACGTGTAATCTTATTAACGATGTCTTAGTTGCTCGAAATCTTCCCACTCGTTGATAAAAACAAATATTCTTTATTTAACGATACTCGTTATACACGTTATAATAGATCTAAATTAAATGTAATTTTCTTAGTGTCTAACGTTTGTTCATTCGAAGGTAACATAATGCGAATAATCAAACAAAGTGTGAATTAATTCTAATAAGCGGATATTATTAAACGATAATAAAAACGATAAAATTACAAATTCGTTCATGAGGAAGACGAATAAAGAAAGAAAGAAAAAAAAAGAAAAACCGGAACAAAGGAAAGAAAAGGAAAAAAAAAGAGAACAAGAAAAAGGAAATAAACAAGAGAGAAAAAAAAGAGATTGAAAAAATTAGAAAGAGATACGAGTAGTAGGATCGTCGCGTACGAAGGACGAGAACGGAGGACGGAAACAGGCGGAGAAAGAAAAGGTAGAGAAGCCGAGTTAGAGAGGAGGTAAGAGGTGGTAAGAGGTAACCAACAAGAGAAGGCGAGTAAAGACACAGTCGGCAAAGCGAACGAACGAAGGAGAGAGCGAGCGATATAGAAAGAAGCTGAGTCTGCGCGATACAGTTTATTTGAAGCGGCACGAAGTGGGGATCCGGCTTGGCACATAGTGCCGCGTCCCCAACGCGTTTCCAAGCTTTAGTCGCGCGATCCCGTTCGAAGCGTCGCCGTATCATCCGTATATAGTGTTGGCTATCTTTCTCGTTTCTTTTGATTTCGATCGATCGATCGATCGATCGTTTGATCGTTCGATCGTTCGATCTATCTCCATCGACGTCTTGGGATTCGAGTAGAAAGAAGAAACAAAATCAATTTATATACTTTTCTTCTCTTTTGTTAGTTCGTTATTTGTATCTATCTGTCTCGTTTTTTTTTATTTATTTTTTTTTATATTGGTCTCTCTTCCATTTTCTTGTAATCACGAATCCAATTCCCTCTCCCTCTCTTTCCCTTTCCCATTTCGAGTTTCATTGTTGTCTCTTCTTTCTCTTTTCTCTTTTTTCTTTTTTCTTTTTCGTACGATTTATCGAGTGAAAGTTCCAAGTAACACCAAAGAAGGATTCGAAGAGAAGGAAAGATGGTGCCGCCTCGTTTCCGTGCACTCCTCCCCGTCTATAAGTTTACTAGTTTGTGCGAGTGGGGATTCGTGTGTTTGATCGGCAATCGTTGAAGGGAGAAAGAAGCAAACAAAAGAAAGGAAGAGGGAGGAAGAAGGAGAAAACGAGAAGAAAGGAAGGAAGGAGATCCTCGAAGATCGAGGTGGGTGCCACTTATATATCCATATACCTATACACCCCTATACACGTACTACTACATAATTTCACACATATACACATATACATATACATATACATATACCTATATATATATATATATTATATATATATAATATATACCTATATATATATATACACGCACACACACACACATATATAATACGCATATCTTTCTTTAATGTTGTGCGCGTCATTTTATCGTGCATCGAACGATGTGACGTTTAGCAGGATCAGTTCGTATTGCGTTACGAAACAACGATTTCACGATCGTTCCCTTCGATCTAGTCGTTCCTGCACACGTGCATGGCCGCGCACGGTTAAACGATAATGGAAGAATTCTTGCGCAGGTCGAATCTCGGTCTACCACTTCGAAATCGTTTGTTACGTAATAAATACCGCAATTTAATCCGGATACGGATCGTCTTTCGTCCATCGTATCACATACATAGATAGATATATAAGTATCTGTGAGAAAGCATACACATACATAAATACTCACATATTAATGTCTAGTTATCTGTTGAATGTGCAAACGATCAGAGTCGATATGTTTTTTATGAATTTTTATACTCAATTGCATCTTTATGAGCGTCACCATAACGAAGAGTCTTGTTCTCTCTCACCCTCTCTCTCTCTCTCTCTATATATATATATACAGATATATAACGATAAAATGCGATAATTTGTTAACGGTATATTTAATATCTTTCCAAGGTCAGACTTTTTTAAGGGGTTGCGTCCGAGCGTTTTATGACTCTAGCGTGATTTTACGTGTCTAATCGATTTTTTAATCGCTTTTAAGATACGTCTTCTCTTCTTTGCTAGTATGTACTTTACGTTTTAGTTTTTGCCCTACGGGACTGTAAACGATAAACGACGATAAGAAGAAAGAGGAAGAAGAGAAGGAGGAGAAAGAGGAGGAAGAGAAGGAGGAAGAGAAGAAGAAGAAGAAGAAGAAGAAAGAGGAGCAGAAGGAGAAGAAGGAATTAAAATCGAAAAGGAAATGACCGGTACGGTCATCCAAAATGAATGACGAAGTGCCGAACGTTTTCTTCGAGTGAACGCAAACGAACGACCGAGCTCACGAATATACGCGCGAAAGGTTAATCCGTTCGAAATGGCCGCGTGACGAAACGCTTCAATCGAACGTGCGATAATCGAAATACCGAGCGCGTCTCATCGATAGTTTCCTTTCTCCATTATTTTATAAAAAAAAAAAAAATAGGAGCGAACTTGCGAATTACCGAAACGAAAAATAAACAAGGAATATATTTCTATACATACGTATCCATATGTAGAGAGAGAGAGAGACAGAGAGATAGAGAGAGAGTTTTTATCATTTTCAACTAATTATGTTAACAAAGAAATATACAAAAAGCAAGAAAAACATGAGTGCTTCGTTGAAACTTGTATGCATGCGGACGCTCGCGCCCATGCGACCTAACTCTCTTCATTAAATTCGCTCGAGCATTTCGTAGTACTCTTCGTAAATCAGGATTTATGTAAAAGCGAGGCGCGGCGGAACGTGTAAAATAATGTTGCACGGAAAACATAAAGCGTATCCGAGATTAACGCGATTGCTCGACTCCGAGTAAATTGCTAAATCTGAACTTTCACTTTTGTTCGATCTATACCGAGCGCTCTCTACGAATTGAAACGAAAGAATTGTTTCTCTTCTCTTATTGATCTTTTTTTCTTTTTATCAATTTTTTTTGATTTTTTTTCCCTTTATTTTTTTCCACTAATTTTCCATTTGTCCATTTTTTTTTGTTTATTCCTTCCTCTTAATTTTATCGTCTCAATTTGTTCAAAAGAGAATATGCTTCGATTCGATTGATCAATCGAAACGATTGCTTTAAATTAATTTAATTAAAGCTTAATTGCTTTAAATAAATTTAATTTAATTAAATCGATTGCTGTATCTCCGTTGATCTTCGATTTTCATTTGGTGAATGAATAAAAAATCTCGAAGACGTGTGTTATAAACGATCTTTAAGAAATATTGCGATTTAATTAATCCCTCGATCTATTTGTTTAATTCGTCAAATCATGCGTAACGAGAATTTACGAATAGAATTTTTGTAATTTTTCGCTTTGTTTCTCATCGAAGCGAAGCACCAAGGACATGTCTAAAGGGTCAGTAAGATTAAGAATCGACTAGATTCCACTCTCTTTTTCTACGACGAGAGAACCTCGATTTAACATGGACTGTTCACCGCGAGCGGAGAAAGGACGAAAGTCGTGGAATTCTATGAACGTCGAGGCTCTTCGACAATATCTTAGAAAAGATGACTAGAAGGAAAATGTGCTTTTTTTTTTCTTTTTTTTTTTTTGAAATCAACTGAACGTTTCTAATCGTAATCGTCTATCTCATTTATCGAATTCAATATTATAAAGACGATTCGAAATTTTTAGTAATACATATAAAATAGAATTTCAAATTTAAGTATACTTAAATATTCCCACATAATTTATTAAAAATTTTGTAGATTCTTATCAGAGAATATAAAAGCATGGATTAATGGAAAAAAAATGATCGATCAAAACCATAGGATGTATATTGTATTTCGAAATTTATTGAAAAAAAATTTGGCTCGGTTCCACGTGTACATATTCGTAGGTTAAATCGAAGGAAATCCAAAAAAATGAAAATCAAAATTGTAGTACTGTTAAAAATCTCACAATATTTCCGATCTTGTGTTTGAAAGAAAAAAGACAAAGGAAAAGGAAGAAGAAGAAAAAAAAGAGCAAATGAAAAAAACGAAGGAAACGAGGGGAAAAAGGTCGCGAGTGTTCTCTTGACGTACTTTTATGGTGCAATTAAATCTCTATTACATGGAAATTAACGTCGTGTTCTCCGGTGAAAACATTTTATCGCGAACAAGTCACCTTGGGAATAGGTAAGGTTCGTTTTGCCTATGAGAAGAAAAGAGATGGAAAGGCAGGGTGAAGAAAAAAAGAAAGAAAGACACGATGGAGTTTCTCTCTCTCCTTCTCTTTTTCTCTTTCTCTCTCTCTTTCTCTTTCTCTCTCTTTCTCTCTGTCTTTCTTTCTCTATCCATTTATTTTTCTTTTTCTAACTCATGTGTATTCATGACCAGGACCGTGGATAATGTCCGAGAGTCTCCACGCATCATATCTTACATATGTGGAATATTAATTCTCGTCATTCGTATGCAATGTCCGTAATATTGCCATGAACGCGTCGTGGTCCGGGAAACGTTACAGGTGCAAGTCACTATGAAAGAAAAAGAAAAAGAAGAAGAAAGAAGAAAGGAAGAAAGAAAGAAAGAAAGAAAGAAAGAAAGAGAGATAGAAAGAAAGAAAAAAGAGACAGAAAGAAAGAGAGAGAGAAAGAGAGAGAGAAAGAGTACCTATGTACATGTGTATGTGTATGTGTATGTGTATGTGTATGTGTATGTGTATGTATATGTGTATTAGAGAGAACATATTATGTATTCCTTGATCGCTTGTGAGAATATGTAAATAATATCCCGCAAACTCGTGGATTATATGGACGAATAGAATCGGCCTATAATAACACGGAAATAAATCCACTAGAGAAGAACGTCTACCCGTCCGCTATGCAACTAGCTCTTAGGAATACCTATGTGATTCTGTAGTCTTGAATGTTGATTATTTATTAATTGTCAATATGCTTTAACTCAAAGAGAGAGAGAGAGAGAGAGAGAGAGAGAGAGAGAGAGACAGAGAGAGAGAGAGAGAGAGAGAGAGAGAGAGAGAGAGAGGGAGAGAGAGAAAGAAAGAGAGAGAGAGAGAGAATGAGATTCTTATAAACATTGTAAACATTGATAAAATTGATGATAATGATTGGTAATGGGCTTTTTTTTATTGAATAAAATTATGTTGTTTTTTCTTTTTTTTTTTTGTTTTTGAAATATAAATACAATAACAAAAATTGTGAGTTATGAGTTAAGTGTACACTCTAAGATTCAAAATTGTAATATGATCGAATATATTAGCTTGAAATGTTATACTTTCATTATCTGTCATTTCAATTAACATCTCCTTTAAATCTCATATTCTTATCGTTATATCATATTATAGTTACTTCCGAAGACTTTGCTATTTAACTTCTTTGTGATATATCAACGAAGCGAGATATTTAAAGAGTCGAGAGGCAAAGATCATTGCGTAGTTCAGTGGTAATAATCATCATCGTAAATCATCATCTTCATCACTATCATCTTTCGTCGTTATTATCACTCTTATCACCATCATCACCATCATCATCATCATCATTATCATCATCATCGTCATCGTCGTCGTAGTCGTCGTCGTGGTCGTCGTCATGACAGTAGTGCCGGCAAGCATCGTCAACCAAAGCCGAAGCGTGATCACTCATTAACTCATACGCTTTTACGCCGCTGGCGAATCACTGTCAAGGCTGATACGCTTCGTAGAACGACGAATTCCGTAACACGTGCAAGAGAGAAACATGCTGGGCTGTTTAACTGATGGCTCACAGGAAAGCCACGTCTCTTTTTCTCTTTTTTTCTCTATTCTCTAATTTTCCAGTTCTCCTTCCACACTTCCATTTCCTTTGATTTTCTTCACTTTCCCTAATATTACGCATAAGCCATAATAATGTTCCAAGTTTCAACTTGGTTCCATTAGTTATGAAATGTCTATTAGATTACGTACAACTATTATTGCCTATTGCCATTACGAGAATGTTCAAATGATGATGATGATGATGATGATGATGATGATGATTGGATAAAATTTACACTCGACAAGAACAATCAGTTCACATGATATTTATGAGATAACGATAATTTGAATCGATAATCATAAATAATGATAAAAATAAATAAATACATTTGTGTGATAATTACGAATGTTGGATTTTATTTACTTTCATTTTTTGTTATTTCTTTCTTTTTTTTTTTTTTTTTTTTTTTAGAGAGAGGATAAAAAGAAGAAGAGAAACAATTAAGAAGAAGATGTCGTCGAGCGGAGAATTTTCAACTTTGTCAAGTGGAGAGGCCACCGGTACCGGTGACGATTCTTTGCCAAGTTCTCGGGAAGCCACCGCGGAAGCTGCTGGTTCCGCTGGAGGTTTTATGCCTTTGCGCGATTTCCTTGATAGATTCTCGCTACCGAGGGTGGTCAGAGTTGAAGGTGCCGGTGGACGACCGATTTTACTTTACAAACAGCAGCAAAGATCTCTCAGGGTAACAGCAACTTTACTTATGCATCGTTATCGTCACGATGTCAAGGTTGGACCGGAAATTGTCATACCGGAAGGATATCCTGGTGAGTAAATAATAAATTAAAAGATTTGTAAAAAATTATATATAATTTTTAAATAAAAATAAATAAATTGTATATATATATATATATATATATATATATATATATATATATATAGATATTTATTATATATAAAAAATTATATATAATAAATTTGTAAAATGTTTAAGACACGATTTGTTTGTTTATTTTTCTTTTGTAATAATAAACACGATTGATAGTTTCTTTTTTGTAATAATAAACATAATCTAAAGAAATTTTTAGTAGGAGTTTAGAACAATTTTTATAACAAATGAGAATCACTTGAATATATACTTAACTTCAGGGTTTCTCAATATCACAAAAGGGAAGGTCGCGAAAGAATGACATAATTGTAATTTAAAATACTGTTCTTATTTCTCTTACTCTCTGTTTTTCTCTTTCTCTCTCTCTCTCTATCTCTCCCTCACTCTCTCTCTCCCTAATTCTGTAAGTATGGACCTCCTAGAAAGCACTGCTTACGAAATCGTCGAGATTCTCTCGAGTTGAGGTCTAACCACGTACGAGTTCACTATTCCTTCTCTTATTTACCTACGCCTAACTGTGGGCATATAGTTATTTACGTATATACAAATATATAGTGGTAGGCACACTGCTGGTGGTGATTTAGCGTAAGCCCACGGAAAGAGAGTAACAGATGCTTGTGGGTGGCAGTGGCGGTTGAAACGGTGAAAAGCTTAAGAGTTTGGGTCTCAAAAGTGAAAGGTTCGAGTGACATTTGAAGTCGTTCAAAATGTTCCTTTCGATTCTTGATAATGTGATTTATCATATATCAAATTAGAAATAAAAATAGAAAAAGATAACATTTCAACGTTATTTTCGTATAATCCAAATCTACAAGAAAATGTTTCTCGGATATAAAAGATAATTTTCTTTGAAGTAAATTAAAAAGAGAAGATCGATAAAATAAATAGTCGGTTCGAAGCCATCACTAATATGGCAAATAGGAAGGTTTCGAAGGATCGGCTTATAAATAGCGAAGAAAAGTATGAGGTAACGCGGTAGAGCGTGCCGTGAATTATAATTTAATATCGTACAGTCTCGTAATACCTCGTATATTTACGTTTGTCTATATATGTGTATATACATACATATATACATACATATATATATATATATATATATAAATATATATATATGTATATGTGTATATATACACACAACACACATACATACATACATATACATATATGTATATATATACGCACAATACACACACGCATACATACATACATACATATATACATATATATATATATATATACGTACACATGTTTGTGCACAACAAGACGAGGAGAACGTACGAATCGCTCTCTTTCTCTCATGCCAACACCCCCGATAAATGTATGCTCACGACTGAGAGACAAAGAGAGAGAGAGAGAGAGAGAGAGAGAGAGAGAGAGAGAGAAAGAGAGAGAGAGAGAGAGAGAGAGAGAGAGAGAGAGAGAGAGAGAATATGTATTATTCAGGCACACTTGGTACGGGTAGGTGGTCAGTGACATACGGACGCGAATAATATCTCGACTCGTATTAGCATAACGCCTCGCAATAGTTTTTCAATGAAAATACATGAATTACAGAGCATACGAGGTTCGAGAAAACGGCGTAGGATGAAATTACGTCAACGCGCGCTAAAGATTCGCTTGAGAGTATATATGAGAGACAAAGAGAGAAAGAGAGAGAGGAGAGGCTATGAGAGATTTAAAGCCTGTTGACATAGGATGCTGAGTTCCTTACGAATGACCGACGCGATCCTTACAACGCTTCTCTAACGAACTCTCGATTGTCCTGTGTCACTTGGATGTCGTCGCTTGGAGCTTCCATTCGTTTGTGAAACTCTTTTCTTTCCTTTTTTCTTTCTTTCTTTCTTTTTCTCTTTTTCTCTTGGTTTTTTTTTTTTTAACTAAAAAAAAATAAAAAATTGAAAAGTATGAGAAATATATGATAAATTGAAATGAAATAATTAATTGATCGTAGAATAGAATAATTATAAGAAATTGTGAGTGTTCGAAAGATTTAAAAGAAAAATATAAAATGATATGAGAAAAAAGGGAAAATAAAAAGTAAAAAGAAATTAAAAAAAGAAAAAACCAAGAAAAAAATCTTTTTTATCTTTCATTCTAACGAGAAACAGGATCGTAAAGGATAGATGAATTTTACTCGTGATATTCTCTTCCTTCTCTCGTTTTCTTTTCCTCCATGGAGGCTGGCACAGCCTCTGACCCTCGGCTCGTTTTCTCGCGAGTCGAGTATTATCACTGGCGGTACTAGCCGTGTGGCTGCTACGAGTTGTCTATCAGGTGCGGCCATACTTGACTTTATGTGCTCGAATACACGTTCGCGCGCACTGCGGGGGTAGAAAAAGGGAACCACCTTTACGACGTTTCGCAACGAAGATACGCCGTGTAAAGGTACACTCGTGACTATGCAAAAGTATCTACCGAGTGATATTTTTTATAATAAATTTTGTCAATAATGTTTCTTATATTTCAATAAAAATATTTAAAATTTTTATTTTCTAAAGAGATTAGAAATATTATAAATATTACAAAGATTAATCTCTATAGATAAACGTCATTTTATAAAATCATTTTATTCCCTGTAACTATTTTTATTATAACATATTACAATTAATGTTATAATAAATTTATAATTTATATATTTTCTTTTTATAACATTTATATACTCATTATTCGCGCATCAAAAATAATAAAAAGATTGTTTGAAATATGAAAAAAGTGTAAAAGAAATTTGTTAATCGAAAAGGACTTAAAGCAATCACTACTGAGAGTTCGGTAGTGGGTGCAGGAAGATAAAGGAAGGGTCGAACGTTGTCTAGCGGAAGTAAAGCCTTGCGCACCCATCTCTCTATGAATAACGCGATGATTTACGGCTAGAAATAAGTCGTGCTCGCAGATTTTCACGGGCACTCAACTTGACCAAGACCAACTTGGCGAAGAGAAGAATTTCCTCACCCTTTTCATTTGCGGTGTACTATCCGTTTGCTTTCTCTCTCTTTTTCTCTGTCTCTGTTTCTCTTTCTCTTTTTCTTCGGATTTGCATAAATCTTTACAAACACGCGCAGAATCGAAAGCTTGGCATCGTCAGCCCGAAGATATTAACTAGCTTTGAAGTAAAGGCGTACGCGATTTTACGATCAAGCGTTGTGCTTTTGCGAGAAAGAGATAAAGGACGAGAAAAAGGAAAGATTGTTTTTTCGTTTCATTGCTAAGTTGATCGTTTCTTTCTTCTTTTTCTTCTTCTACTTTTCATCCTCTCGAAAAAGGAAGGAAAAAGATGAATAGAATGGAAGAAGACTCAAAAGATATGAAGACTCGATTTATGATGAATAAAATCGAAGAGCGTTTGACTTTTGCTTTCTATCTTCCAACGTGAGAAGCGATTTCTTTGCATCTGTCTCGCTAAATGAGAAATATGTTTTCTATAGAATCGAAGCAAAGGAATTGTATATTTTAAAGATCTTTAGTCGATTGATTTATATCGGATAAAAAGAGAAAAGAAAAGATAAATAAAGAAACGAGAGAAAAGATGAACCTTAGTCGAGGATCGTCTTCAAATTAAGCTATTCAACAGAGTGATTTTTTTTATGGCATTCTCGACGAAACGAGATAGCCCCGATCTTTATATTAATACGATGTCGCTTTTGAATGATCGATCATGCCATCCAGAGTATATTCGTTCGAACGTTGAAGGATCATGAAAATATAGGGCGCCAGGACAAGGATCGTACATCATCTTAATTGAGATCGTCGGGCCGAGGTTAACTCCATTTTCTCGAACGTAATAACGGTGAAACAGCGATCGATTATGATGCAGCGAACTGACTCTTCTCGTTCTTTGGTTTGCGTCGTGACGATGCCAGGATGGTACTCGTCTTCGGTAAAAGAAAGTTCGAGTACTCTTCGTTAGTTTATTACATTGATAAATCTTGTCTATGTATGTGCGTGCGTGCGTGCGTACGTGTGTGTGTGTGTATGTGTGTGTGTGTGTGCCGTACGTCTACCGCATTTTTCACGCACGACACCAATTGCCCCGTTTAACTCGAGTAACGATATAAGCTCCGCAACAAAACGTGACTCGCGGCTACCCATTTCAAGGTTCAAGTGTAAATGCCGCCTTGAAAGCGCGTAAATGCATAGCCGGCATATCTAATAGTTGCACAAGCTACATAGATCACCTTCTCTCCTTTAAATGGGGAAAAGGGAACTATGACTCTCACGGTTTCACTGAGATCGATCCTATTATATGATCGATTCACTTATTCACTATCCGTTAACTACTTTCAAACTAGAACGGCAATTATTTAAAGGCGTTCGAAAGAATTTAAAGTTCTACGATATTACATATATTTTTCCTTATCCATTCTCCAAAGTTAAAAAAAAATTAAACATCGAGAATATCTTTACTTTCTTTTAGTAGTCCAAAGGAAAAAAGGAATATCCCCGTGGTTCTCGTTAAGCACTAGTGTATCCACTAGAGAGAAAGAGAAAGAGACAGAGATTGCTACCCTTACGAGAGAAGAACGCTCTTTGAGCTCTCGCACGGCGGGTTGTAATCCACGGATAATTCTCGAAGTACCACCTTACCACGCTCTCGTGGTATTCGCCACAGATGTAAATACCCGCGGGGCCTCTGAAGGGGCCTGCGGGTATTAAATATACGTTCCCCGGGTACTCGACAAATTGCTCCCATGAACCAGAATAATTAGCATCGCCAGCCTCCGGTACTTGTCTACCCATCCTTTTTCCTCTCTCTCTTTCTCTCTCTCTCTCTCTCTCTCTCTCTGTCACATACACACACACACACACACAGACACACAGACTCGTCTATTCTTTGTGTACGATTACCCAAGAAGGAGAAAGAGAAAGAGAGAGACAGAGAGAGAGAAAGAGAGAAAGAGAGAGAGAGAGAGAGAAAGAGAGAGAGAGAAAGAGTCTAGGGCG